CATTACCGACTTGGCCATATCAGTATTGACCGAATCACAAGACTGGTAAAGGATGGTCCTTTGGATTTTCTAACTATAGAAGATCTTCCCACTTATGAGCCTTGCCTTCAAGGTAAGATGACAAAGAGGCCATTTAACGGTAAGCCTGAAAGATGTACAGGCACGCTTGACCTTATACATATTGATGTATTTGGTCCCTTGAGTGTTAGGATCCATAACCAGCACGTGTATTTCATTACATTTACCGATGACTATTCTCAATATGGTTACGTGTACCTAATGAGACATAAGTTCGAATCCTTTGAAAAGTTCAAAGAGTTCAGACAAGAGGTCGAGAAACAGTTAGGGAGAGAAATTAAGTCCATTCGATCGAATCGAGGTGGCGAGTATCTCTCTGACGAATTCAGGGACTACTTGAAAGGTCAATGGGATAGTATCACAGTTGGCTCCTCCTGCTACACCACAACTTAATGGTGTTTCAGAGAGGAGGAATAAGACCTTATTGGATATGGTCCGGTCACTTCTCATCCATTCAGAGTTACCCACATCCTTTTGGGGATATGCATTGGAGACTGCGATATACGTGCTGAATCGGGTTCTAACCAAATCGGTTCCTAAGACTCCCTATGAGCTTTGGACCAGAAAGAAACCAAGTGTACGGCACTTGAAGGTTTGGGGTTTGTCCGGCTCATGTTAAAAGAACGAATCCGGACAAATTGGAATCCAAAACCAGCCGTTGCCTATTCGTAGGCTACCCGAAGAGCTCTGTAGGTTACCTATTCTATGATCCAAATGAGCAGAAGGTGTTCTGCAGTCGGAATGCACAATTCTTGGAAAATGATTACATCCTAGACAACCTTCGTCAGGAAATTATTCTTGATGAGGAGAGCTCAGATGTAGTGGGAGGTGTCCCACAAGTTCCAGGTAGTGACCAACTTAGAAGATCTACCCGGGTATCCAGGCCACCAGTCTGTTTTGGTTATGATCAGTATAGTTACCTAGTGGAAACCTTGACTAGTGAAGAGGATCCCGTGACTTATGCGGAAGCTATGTTGGACATAGACTCCCTTAAGTGGGTAGATGCCATGAGAGCTGAGATGGACTCAACGGAGATCAATGGAGTCTGAACTCTAGTGGATCCGCCCTCCGGGGTAAAAGCAATCGGTTGTAAATGGATCTTCAAGAAGAAGAAAGGCCCCGATGGTAGGGTTGAGACCTACAAAGCTCATCTGGTGGCGAAAGGGTACACTTAGAAAGAAGGCATCGATTATGAGGAAACTTTTTCGCCTGTGGCCATGCTTAAATCCATTAGGATCCTGCTAGCTGTAGCAGCATACCATGACTATGAGATTTGGCAGATGGATGTCAAAACTGCGTTCCTGAATGGAGATCTTACTGAATATATCTATATGCAGCAACCACAAGGTTTTGTAGCTGCGGGTCAGGAACACATGGTGTGTAAACTAAATAGGTCCATATATGGACTTAAGCAAGCTTCTAGGAGTTGGAACATCCGGTTTGACTCTACCGTCAAAAAGTTTGACTTTGAGCAGAATCCGGATGATCCCTGTGTTTACAGGAAGACCAGTGGCGACAAGGTTATGTTTCTGGTTCTGTATGTAGACGACATTCTACTCATTGGGAATGATGTAGGAATGTTGACTACGGTGAAAGTATGGCTGTCACAGCAATTCTCCATGAAAGATCTTAGAGAAGCCTCCTACATACTGGGTCTTTGACTCTATAGAGATAGATCGAAGCGAATAATAGGATTATCCCAATCTGCTTATATTGACAAAATAGTCAAGAGATACAGCATGGARAACTCYAAGAAAGGAAATGTTCYTTTYAGGCATGGAGTCAATCTCTCCAAGAAGATGTCTCCCAAGACCTCTGAGGAGATTGAGGGCATGAAGGACGTTCCCTATGCCTCTGCTGTAGGGAGCATCATGTATGCCATGCTATGCAGTCGTCCTGACATTGCTTAGGTAGTGAGTGTGGTAAGCAGATTCCAGGCCAACCCAGGGAAGGAGCACTGGACTGCTATGAAATGCATACTTAAGTACCTTCGAAGGACAAAAGAGTTTTGTCTGGTATTCGATGGTAGTTCACTACAGATCTAGGGGTATACTGATGCCAATTTCCAGTCAGATCCAGATGATAGAAAGACTACATCTGGGTATGTTTTCAAAATAGGATCGTGTGCTGTTTGCTGGAAAATCAGCAAACAGGGGTCCACAGCAGACTCCACAACTGAAGCTGAATACATTGCTGCAAGTGAAGCTACCAAGGAAGCCGCGTGGATGAAGAAGTTGGTTCACGAATTGGGAGTAGTTCCGTCCAGCACATCACCCATTCCATTGTTGTGTGACAACAATGGAGCGATCACTCAGGCCAAGGAGCCTCGAGCCCACTCGAAGTCGAAGCACATCGAGAGGAAGTACCACGTACTCCGGGAGATTGTTGG